ATCCCAGCTCACCCGAGAACTGCTGGCGCCACCGCTGTGCTGGCTGCTCGCTGCAGCACCCAGCTCACAGGCGTCAGGTTCCCCTGCCAGGTGCCACAGCCGTTGCCTGAGCACCCAGCATCACCTGCAGAGCCGAGGGCCATTCGCCCTGGGTTCCTAGCTGCTGTTGCAGGGAGCAGGGAAAGACTTCAGGGGGCTGATGAACGTTGTTGTGGCTGCTACATGGTAACCTCTGTCTTAGGAGCAGGGCATTCTAGCGCAGCACTGTGCATAAGTGCCATTGCTCACTTGTGATTCAGAGACCTACACCCTCTTCCTAAGGTAGCCTTGTTAGCCATGTGTTTGCAAAAACAGGAAAGAGATTATGAGCTTCTGTAATGCATTACACCATGTTTTACACCCTCATACATCCTCATACACCATCACATGCACCCAAGACACCGAAAACCAGACTAAAGGATTTTATCAATTACCATCCACCCATCCCCTTTCTAAGAGTCCCTCACCATCTGATGAGAGTTAGTTGTATTGGGGCACTCTCCAATCTTTCCATAGGGATGAGGTCACTGTTCTTGAATAATTAAAATACTCACGGAGAGTGATCAGCTCTGTTGCCTGGTGTCTAAGACAACCAGAGGAAAATCTAACCACCTGTTCCAGTCCCTGCTCCAAGAGTGGCTCATACTTCATTCAACAGTGACTTCATTCAACAGTTGTTCTGTGTAGTACCCGGTAGCTTGGCTGCCTACAGGAATATTTTACCCAGACTACAAGGAATCTAGCATGAAGCCCCATAATTCTTACCCAACTCAGCAGAGTGGTCTGGTTCCACCAAAGTGGATGGCATGAGGAAACAAAGGTGATGGACTACACCTTCACTAGGCCTCAGTGAAACTAGTGAATCTTAGTAAATTGGGAAGTCCTACTTTTTAGCTTTTGGCATGAGCCTTTAAATGAAAGCATGCACAGACAGATCTGAATCCTCCCAAATCCTCCCCTCTCACCTACATCCTGCATGACAGGGAGGGAGGCAGGCAGGGAGGAAGAAGAAAAGGAAAAGAAAAGGAAAAGGAAAGGAAAAGGAAAGGAAAAGGAAAGGAAAAGGAAAGGAAAAGGGAAAAGGGAAAAGGGAAAAGGGAAAAGGGAAAAGGGAAAAGGGAAAAGGGAAAAGGGAAAAGGGAAAAGGGAAAAGGAAAAGGAAGAGGAAGAGGAAGAGGAAGAGGAAGAGGAAGAGGAAAAGGAAAAGGAAAAGGAAAAGGAAAAGAGTCTAGTGGTGTTAAATGTGAAATCTCTCTTCAGGATTTCAGCAGGCTAAGTACATGGTGGCAGATTCACCATCCTGTGGAGAGAGTCCCACTGAGGCCACATTTCTGACAGAGCAAAGTTTAGAACAGGTAGATGCTATGACCTGACAAGATCAGGATCCTTCAAGGTATGGTCAAAAAAAATCTTCAGGTATGTGGGATCCACAAAAGAGCCACCTTCAAAGAAGGGACACTTTGGGTAGCAGCTGCTTAAAATGGTCTTGGGATTTAGGCACCTTATTTCTGTCCAAATTCTGCTTCATTTTGTGGCTTTGGTCTGTAAAATGTGGATACATAGCCTTTCCAAGTGACGGTGAGGATAAAAGTATTCATGGTTTCGAGGTAATGGTGCTAAAATTCTGGTAATGGGGATCCAGAGATAGCTGAGGGCTGCTTACTCACATTGTGCTTCCTTTCTCAATAACTAATAGCATGTCTAGGCTTTGATGTTGATGGGTAGGCAGAAGAGTGGTCTTGATTAAAAGCATTAATTTACCTCTCGCAGATAACAGATTCATATACACAGGTCTAAATCAGGAGTAACTGCATCAAAATAAACAGCCCTTGGGTAAAACAGGTGTAAAAGAGAAGAGAACCAGACCCTGCATCTAGCAGATATATGACAAGGTAAATGGGCAAACACAAGAAAAGTGAATTATTGTTATTATATGTGCATGTTACATTCAGTACCTTTAAAATCTAATGCTACAAAGAAAATACCTTTCAAGCCTGCAAAGTATACTCAATAGGGGCCGTCAAGAACTCATCAGAACCTGTGAATGTTTCCTTTGTATTTGTTGCTTTCATTGCAGCATTGATATACATCAGGAGTAGCTTCAATCACTGAAAACTGGCAGAATAAAAAAAACCAAAACAGGTCCTTTAGCTTTAAATAAATTAACTGAGATCCATTGACTCAAGAAAACCTTTAAAATTTTTTGAATTACATCTTAAATGAACATTTAATTTTATAATTTGTCAACTTAGGTAATAATATTAAGAGATCTATGCTGATACAAACAATTGTGTTAATTACAGTAAAAGACATCAAATTAAATTCAGTTCCAGGAATCAATAGCATTTCTTCAAGTACCATTTCTAATTATGGCTATACCTTCCATTTGGACTTTTATTAATGCATATGTTATATCTGTCACCTTCTTCGGTTGTGAGCAAACTCACTGTATGTTAATTCACACCTGATAACAATCGTTTTTCTGGTACTTCCCTTCTAAACCTGATGATAGGATGTGTCAACACCTATAGGATTTTTTGGGTTTTTTGAGGACTTTGTGAAGGTTACGTTCTTTTAAAATTTGCTGTTAAATGACAGCTTCCAATTCTAATTATAAAAATGGACAATAAAAATGAAGAGTAAAAGACTTCACTCTCTTTGATGCAGTGTCTACTGTAACCTCTAGACATGCTGGGAAGTAACAAAATCTGAAGAGATTATACTTTAGAAGATGATACTTTAGAAATTTCTCACTTCAAGGAGAAGTTCTCTCATGCTTCCACACAGATAAAGGATGCCAATAATTATTTAGTCACACTTCCCCCTTCCCCAAATAATCTGTTTATATTAAGTTTAGACAAAATACTCTAGAAAATTCCCCATCACACCTGCCTTCCTGTTCATCACACATTTTCATGTTGTGTACCACAGTCAAAGCATCACCTCATTCAAGAGACTCTCTCATGACAGACCTCATGCTAATTTCCAGCACATTTCATCTCCACAGCCTTGCCTCCCTTTACCCACCATGTCATCAGTGAACTCCTCCAAAGTGACATAGCCTTAATTACATTTTAACTTGATCCCAGAGGAAAGCGATATCTTCATTAACTGTCAGGAGGCAATTTTCAGGCTGAGTTGCAGGTGTATTTTTTCACAGACTGGTGTTCTCAGGCAAGGCACAGCTACAACAACATGTTAGAAAAATACAATCTTTTCTTCAGCTCCCAGTCATCCTTCAATAGATTATGAAAACAGTGAGGTTTTTGTTGTCTGGAGTTTTCTGGGGGGAAAAAACACCTTTCATGTGACAATAACTATCAGGGGCAACTCATCATAGCCTAAATGAGACATTTTGGACAGCTTTTTTTTTTTTGTCTCTCAATGACCCTTGAAAGATTCAGCCCAAGCATGACAAACCCACCCTCAGTCTCCATGGTGTTTTCCACATCCTCAGTGTCCCTAGGGAAACCCTTAGTTTTACTGCAGGCCAAGAATTCTGCACAGGCATAGGGACATTTAGCATTCCTAACACACCCCTAATCCCTAACCCCAAAGAACATCAGTGCCAGTAGTGAGGAAAGGCTACCTGAGCAGAAGGGACAGAGATGGGAAATGCTGACAAATGTGACCAAAAAAAAAAGGTAACATTTGAGGCAGAAAGGCAACTACTAATGTTATTGGAAGTGTTGCCAGAGTCAAACAAAGAATTGAAAAAATTATGAGAGATAACAGGAAGAAAAAAATATTGTGGCTCATGAAAATTTAGGGGTTAAGGAAGAGAGGATTCCACTTTCAAGTGCAAAAATCTGCCAGAACACCTGCCCAGCAGGCTGGAGAGGTCCTGGGCAGAGGGATTACACAGCACTGCTCATCATTGCAGTATTACCACAAATAGTGCTTATTTATTAAGAGACAAACCATCTTTGTATCAGTTGCTGTCTGCTCATGTTTATCAGGTTGTCAGCATGAAAGCTATCTGTATATGCATATATGATCACCGTGGAAAAATTATTACACCAAAACATCCAATTTTCACCCTTTATATGTACTTGCATGTAAAGCATTAGATAATTTTCTGGTTATCAGTGCTGTTGTCATCAAAACACCTGCTCTCATGTTATTTTTACAGTAAAGTACCTAACTATAAATGTCTGCATGGACACTGCCTTAATCAGAAAGATACATTCTTTAAAATAGGTACTTATGTATCCTATGAGCTAATCCTGCTTCCAGTGAAAAAGAAATTTAGAACTAGGCCCTGACACAGAAATTTCACTAGCAATAAGTGGAGCTGTCAGACACACAAGCTTTAGCTGACCAGAGGTGAGGTGGGACAAACATCTCTACTGTGAAGCACCAGGTGACCTCAGTCAGCATCCAGAATGAGCAGCCATCTAAACCCTCTGTTGAAAAATGTGCTTTCACTGAAGACATCCAGCAGCACACTGGCATACTCTCAGGGGTGCTGGGTGATCATCTCACAGCACTTGATGACCATCACCAGCATTCACCAGCAGCTCCTCTCTCTGCCCATGAGCTTCTGCAGGTGGTAGGAGGAGGCAGGAATCTGTAGGCTGCACTCTGTGCTCTTATTCAATGCTAGTCACTGTCCCCACTGTGATATAAACCAGGGAGGGAGCCTATGCTAAAAATAGAGTATTACTGTGTAAAGCAAGTCTATCTCCTAGTACACACAGCAGGACATCAGACTGGGAATTTTCAAAAAATTACAAGCCTAAGATTACAAGTCCCTTTGTTTTGGCATTTTCTTCCTTCTAAGTGCTTAACTTTGCAACCTTACTTTATTATTGGTTAATTTTAAGCTTTCTCATACAGCTAGAATTACCACCCAAGATTCAGTCACAAAAAAACAGATTTTGTAAAAATCCAAGAAGACAGTACAGAAAGGCCTGTGTAGCTTTGTAAATATACATGAATCTTATATTTTATATTCCTTATTTTATATATATATAATAAAAATATCCTACTTACTTGCTGGAAGTCAATCTAATTTTGCATTTTGTCTCCTACAATGGCCAGAAGCAAGTGCTTGGAGAAAAATGTAGGAACAGGAAAGCATACAGTGGTACTGTCTCTAAATATTCTCTCAACAGTCCTCTTTGGTTCAGACAGATTCTGAGTGGTGTCATTTTATTTAATAGATTTAATAGACTGGCCCTTCCATTCACTCACTTTCGAACTCTTGTAGACAATCAGGTTCTTCAGGAGATTGTGAAAGATGGTGAACGAATGGGAGTGCTCACCTGGGGAGCAGGACATCCAGGGCTTCAGGCCATGCTCCAATGAGAGTTTATCTTTCCCATGACACAGCCACTGAGTAGCTGTGTCCAGGAACTGGAGCTGACACCACCTCTTCTGCAGAAATCTTCCCCCAGTTGCTCCTTTTTCTGCAACGAAAGGAATTCTGAAGAGTCTATGTGAAGCAGCACCTTGTCAAAGGTGTGTGATGAGCAGTTCACTGGCCTAGATGCTTCCAGGACACATTGGGAGGGAAGGATGCAGCCCAGGTCCTCAGTGCAATAACCCTGAACCTTGAGAAAAAATGAGCAGAGGTTGTTTTCAAGGAAAGCACATTACACCAAGCCCACTCCAGCCAGGCCCTGTAGGATAATGGGCTGAGGATCCTCAGAACCGTGGGTCTGAAATGGGGGCTGAAATACTGGACACCCAGCAGCCAAAGTCCTTTACCACATGGCAGTGTGGCATTCACAGACTTCAGGCCAGGGTCAGGCAATCAGGGAGGGGCAGCTCTCATTGTCACAGCTTTGAACTGAAGTGTCTGAGTCCTGCCCAAGCCCCACGATTGCATCCCATCCAGAGCTCAATGCACGCCCACAGTCATTGCTCTGCTGTTCCCTGTGCTGGTGCTTTGCCTTAACTAAAAGCCCATGAAGAACCTTTAAAGCTGTTCCGACAAGACAATATAATAATAATAATAATATTTAAAAGATATAATATTATTGAGCATGAATTAACTATTAACATTACTACTTCAACACTCTAATAACATTTTAAAGTACCCTTAATAGCTTATTAATTTTAAGGGCAATAATCAGAAGAATCACCTGCTTCCCCTACCAGATGTCAAGTTAAAACACAATGTTTCCTTTTCTCATTACAAGTCCGATTTAGGATGAGAAGAGGGCAGCCCTGTAATGGCTTCTAGTAGCTGCTGCTGAAGGGACTGAGATGGAGGAAGGTAACAGTTTAGCAGGAAATTATATGAAGGAATAAAGGCCAATGGCAGTGCTGGAGAATCCAAGTGATATTGACAGCATGCAGGTGCCAAGATGATCAAATGTGAGTCAACAACAGGTGGCATTGCCTTAACAGTCTTGCCTGTCTCAGAAGAGAATGTGCAGTCAGACTGAGCAAGGGGAGAGAGGTTTACTCTGAAACACAGTGACATTAGGGCACAAGGTAATGTTGCAATGCAGACAGGTCTGGAGGCTTTGGTCCTGCACCTTGCTCCTCCCAAGTGTTTGGTTTGGTTAATTGTGCACAGGACAGATTAAAAATATCTGCATTGAGCTTTCTAGCCACTCACAGTCAATTGGCAGTGAGGAGCAGGCATCTTTGCTCAGAGTAACTCCAAACTTCTCAGGAAGGTGGGCACAGGGTATCCCACCCTTGGGCAGGACACCCCACCTTTGGGCTCAAGCTAGCACACTCCATATTGCTTAGAGCTGTTGCCATTAAGGATCTCTGCAATTTGCTCACTGATGCCATTTATATTAGATCTAAGAGGATCTGGAGGATGTAGCTACCCACTTGCAACTGCCTTGAGACATGGGATATTTTCCAAAGAATGTGAAAATCCCCTGCCCAAGATATCTTGAGAAAACTTGAAGGTCTGCAAGTAGTTGTGCAGTAGGAAATTACTATATGTTTATATGTTAGTGGCTAGAGATTAAGATTTGGACTCAATGATCCTTGTGGGTCACTTCCAACTCAGAATATTCTGTGATAAACTGTGAATTTCTCTGGTCACTATTTGTGAAGAGTTTCTTATCCATACAAGACTTCTTACTTCATTTTTCATATGTTTACTGGTTTGTTTTATGAAGATCTATAGTATGGCTGTTTTCAACAATTCTACTGTTATTTTTACCACTTTCTGCCTGTTGCTTGTAATACCAAATAGCAGAAAATCAGTGATAGAGTCACACAGCTTGACATGGATTTCCCCAAAAAGGCATCAGGTGACCAGGAACAAGCTTGATGCATCGGCATCCTAACCCATCCAGATACAGATTCCTGGAAACAAGCTTTTTAACTGTGCTGTGAATGCTATGCCAAATGCCACCAGACTTGAACTGCACCAAACAGTGCCATTATTGAACAAGAATTCAACAAGAATGCTTACTCTTGTTGGAGAGAAGAAGGCTCCTTCGTAAAGCCATGTCTTGGGAGCCTAAGGGAGGATACACGGCTTTCCTGTTTCTGCTGTAAAGCCAGAGCTGTTCGCCTGGACACATATCGCTGTCTCCATGGATCGGGTGCCCCTGGAAAGGTGAGCTTGGCAGGCTCCGAACCCAGCCATTCCTGCCAAGCAGCGACGGCCTCTTGGAGGGGACACTGCATCCTTCTGCAGGGCTCAGGCACCACTAGAGGGAAACCCAGCACCGCCCTCAGCCCTGCCCTGAGCTTCGCAAGGGAAGGGGGAGCGGCGGCGACAGAGGCGGCGGGGGCAGCGCTGCGCCGGG